AAAACTTTAAACTTTTATGATCATATTTCAAGTAATAAAAGTAAATGATCACGATTTATTATCAATAGCTTTATACGCTTTTAAATTCTTTCAAGATTTATATCAGTTGTTAAGTACTTTCAATAAATCCTTAACTTGACAACTTTGCTATGCTCAATGAAATTTATAAATGAATTTGGAGCATTCATATTCACATTAACATTGTCATAAAGTTAAATGGAGAGTGAAACCAGCTAACCTTCGCAATGGCTAACATTCTAGGCCTTGGCTGTATCTGCAGTTCCTGAACGATTTGCAAATGTAGATTTGTTGTTCCTATGAAAAGTCCCAGTCTTATGATTGTAATATTTTCGAAATTGATCAAGCTTCAAATTGAACTCAAAATTATAGTATCCGTATAGGATAGGCCTAAAGCAGAATTTGAATTGAAGAGTCTTGTCCCGAATATTATTGCCATATCATACCATAATATATAGGATCTAAGCTAGAAGCAATTGCAATCTATTCCTAATCCAACCCCCTTCCATTTCTCTCGATTACAGGCATCCTGGGTAGGTGGCATCATGCCGCTCGCTGGTCTGGCCGGTGGCATTGCTGGCGGTCCGTTCATAGAGTATCTGGGCCGGCGTAATACGATCCTGGCCACAGCTGTGCCGTTCATCATTTCGTGGCTGCTGATCGCCTGTGCTGTCAATGTGGTGATGGTGCTGTGTGGACGCTTCTTGGCCGGTTTCTGTGTGGGCATCGCATCGCTGTCGCTGCCCGTTTATCTGGGTGAAACGGTTCAGCCGGAGGTGCGCGGCACGTTGGGTCTGTTGCCTACGGCRTTTGGTAATATTGGCATATTGCTGTGCTTTGTGGCCGGCACCTATATGGACTGGTCGATGCTGGCCTTCCTGGGCGGCACGCTGCCTGTTCCATTCCTCATACTGATGTTCCTCATCCCGGAGACACCGCGCTGGTATGTGAGCCGTGGACGCGAGGAGCGGGCACGCAAGGCGCTCGTCTGGCTGCGCGGCAAGGAGGCCGACGTCGAGCCGGAGCTGAAGGGTTTAATGCGCTCCCAGGCGGATGCCGACAGACAGGCGACTCAGAACACAATGCTGGAGCTCCTCAAGCGCAGCAATTTGAAGCCTCTGTCCATATCGCTGGGCCTGATGTTCTTCCAGCAGTTGAGCGGCATCAACGCCGTCATTTTCTATACTGTGCAAATCTTTCAAGATGCTGGCTCCACTATCGATGGCAATGTGTGCACCATCATTGTGGGCGTGGTCAACTTTATGGCTACATTCATAGCAACGGTGCTGATCGATCGCGCTGGCAGAAAGGTGAGTTGAGCAGAAAAATCTTTAATTATTCAGCAAATGAATCTCTCTCTCCGTCTCTCGTGTTTCTCTAGATCTTGCTTTATGTCTCCAATGTGGCCATGATCTTGACGCTGTTTGTGCTCGGCGGCTTCTTCTATTGCAAGTCCACGGGCATGGATACCTCGAATGTGGGCTGGCTGCCGCTGAGTTGCTTTGTCGTTTACATTTTGGGCTTCTCGCTGGGCTTTGGACCCATCCCATGGCTAATGATGGGCGAGATTTTGCCGGCCAAGATACGCGGCTCAGCGGCGTCAGTGGCCACCGCCTTCAATTGGTCCTGCACGTTTGTGGTGACCAAATCCTTCCAGGATATGATAGGTAAGCCGCACAGCCGAAAGACATTCCGAGAATTGTCAATTAACTATCTGAATCTCTAGATGTTATGGGCGCACATGGTGCCTTTTGGATGTTTGGCGCCATCTGCTTCGTTGGCCTGTTCTTTGTGATATTCTATGTGCCTGAGACGCAGGGCAAGACGCTGGAGGATATTGAGCGCAAGATGATGGGACGCGTCCGTCGCATGTCCTCGGTTGCGAATATCAAGCCATTGTCCTTCAACATGTAATTCTGTGCGATCGGTACGCATCCAGATTGGCATACGGAATGTGAAGGATCTTTGAAGCGATCAAACCAAATATTAGTCTAGTGCCTTAGTGCTTAAGTTGTATAACAATSACGTCATCGATAACGATAATTAGAGCTGGCGTCGATTGTCGATTGAGCGTGGCTTTATTTTTATTTAGCAAAAGAATTTCCTTTATTGTTATTATTATTATTATTTATATCGTCGCTAAGTCGCATTAGTTTCTATGATGCTGTAAATTATGAATTATGATGCTGCTGTACATCGATAAATCTCTGTAGAAAATGACATAAGTAGTTGATAAGCCTAACAAAAAAGCCAAATTAATTAATTTCCCACTACTATTATAATCCCTATCCCCCACCTCTAAAC